AAAGGGGGGAAATGAAATAAAGGCCAAAAAAATTATATTGAGAAATTGGATAATGTAACATCAAATGCCAGAAGGATGTGCCCCTTGCAAGCATGGGGGATGCTGCCCAACCAAAAACCGAAAATCCACCACATAGGTATGGCAGGCGAGAGGGTAGGACAGACTTGGCATCAGGTGCTCCTACATGTCAGTTGTGCCCTTTATCCCGCCATGAATATGAGGAGGATTCTTTGTGTTCCAGGATGGGGGTTGGGAGATGGCAGCCCCTGCGTACAACTATATATTGACCAATTCATTATATACCATACATATTTTATCCTACAATTTCTATAGTGACTTTCATGCCCTCCCTTGCTATCAGCCCAAGAATGTGGGGGCGTTGAGGGGTGGCACGGCAAATGCCCTTAATATGATGGTAGTGGAGAATGAAAGGTATCCATTAATACCACTGTCATTGTGATCGGTCATGCGAAGGTGTTCTAAACAATTACCAATATTTTAGTTACAGCCATCAAACCTTGCAATTATCATTCCCTATTTCAGTCATTCATGATGTGTGTAAATCTTTTGTTTTTTATTTCAAATGATGTAAGTGAAATGATAAATATTCAGAAGTCCCAGCTGACCACAATGATAGTGTCATCGATGGATTCCTCTTACTCTACTACACAAATATGTAGGACATTTGCCTCGGAAATCCCCCATACCCCCACATTCTTGGCCTCGATAGCAGATGAAGGCATGAAAGGTACCAGGAAAATTGTAGGGTAAAGCATGACTAATATATCCCAAATACATCACTATAATAATAATATACACAGAATAGTAATTTGTTACATTATGGACACATTTGACAGACACTAAGTTCCCTACTCCACATCACACACTTTATTCAACAACCTAAATTGGTGTGACTATGCTTAGTGTGTCCATACTTTATTTGATTATGTTGGCAGGTGACTAGACTTGTTTCTTCTATCTTTTTTCTTTTTTCTTCTCTTCCTTTTTTTTTTTCTCCTTTTATATTTCTTTGCCTTGCAACTTTCCATGTTTTTCATTCCATCAGACTACCACACTTGCTAAGAAAATTATGGAAATCTAACTAGTTTTATACCACAGGGGGCCTCTTTCAAAATTCCTAAGTACAATGCTCCATACACATACTTTATACTATTTGTATACATGTACACATTTGTTATGAATATATAGATGTGTGTGTGTGTGTGTGTGTGTGTGTGTGTGTGTGTGTGTGTGTGTGTGTGTGTGTGTGTGTGTGTGTGTGTGTGTGTGTGTGTGTGTGTGTGTGTGTGTGTATGTGTGTGTGTGTGTGTGTGTGTGTGTGTGTAAAATAAGCCTTGAGATCCCCCCCCCCCAATTTACAACATGATAGTTTAGAAAATGAATGAATGATTTTCTTTTATTTAAGAATTAATTTGATTCACCTCCCCCAACCCTAAAATAGCACAAGCACATTACAGACAGAAATTTGATATATGTGTTGTTCTTATTTTGTTTAAATGCAAATATAACAGGATCTGTTATTGAGTTATTTACAGTAAATGCCATTACCATATTCTTAATATCTTATGTACAGTTATAAAGTCTATGCAAACAGACCAAAAAGTTAGGATATTCTTCCCTAGCTTCACTTATTCATGATAATTATATATTTTTTTTATAATAAAGCTTCATATTATAGAATTTTTGGCTTGACTGACCACTCCAAGAAGGAGATGGGTATATTAGTGCATGTATATTATTGCAAGTTGTTCATTCTTTACATTATCCATTTCAGAAACTGAACATCAGATTGTTTATTAATGAAAAGACCAGCCACCATAATGTGTGACGCAAACTCCTCTGAGATGGTGAATGGATTACCCGTCAAGGAGGAAAGTGAGGTGTCACTCATTGAGGACTGCAGCAGGGAAGTGAAAGAGACAGGAAATGGAGACGCACTTTTTGAAGCAAAGGAGGTAGAGGATGTCACGATCAAAGAGGAATATCCATATGATGAGGAACACATGGTTATCGTTGATCCTTTGTTAACTTTCCAGTGCAAGCATTGTAAGAAAGTGTTTACCACCCAGTGTGATTTGGATTTTCATATGAAAGAAAAGCATACAGAAGCAAAGCTTCTGAGTTGTACAATGTGCAGTGAAACATTTCTTGAGGAAAGTGACCTGATGATGCATGCCAAATTTCACAATCATGGAAATCCTTGTATCATTAAGGTATGTAAAAGAATTTTTCTGTTGACTCACTACTGCTGGGTACGTGCGTTGTCCATTTTAGTTTTGCCCCGTCAATTTTATACATAGATGGCTCCACAATTGATTAGTTACTAAACTTTTTTTCCTTCTTTCTTTTCTTTCTTTCTTTTTTTTCCTTCTTTCTTTTCTTTTTCTTTTTGTTCTTCCTATCTTTTAACAAAAATGAATGTGGCCCAAGATTTCAGCATTGCCTCTAGGTGAAAAAAGTACCCATTTCATGCTTGGAGTGGAATTCATGTGTTAATTTATTGGTGTTGGATACATGCTTTGTCCACATATCCTTTTGTGAATTTTGTTATATTAACCCGATGCTGTTGGGGATTGCATATAAGTACATGCAATGCTCACGTTGAGTTCAATGAGCTGATTACTAGCACTACTTATCTTACCTGTCTATCCTATTCCTTGAATTTTTTATATTTCTGGTATCTTATATCGCTGTTATTACTGTCTATATATATATATATATATATATATATATATATATATATATATATATATATATTATATATATATATATATATATATATATATATATATATATATATATATAATATATATATATATATATATATATATATATATATATGTGTGTGTGTGTGTGTGTGTGTGTGTGTGTGTGTGTGTGTGTGTGTGTGTGTGTGTGTGTATGTGTGTGTATGTATATATACATATACATATACATATATATATACATATACATATACATATATATATACATA